TAACCTCGACTCTCTCCTTACATCGCTGGTAAAGGCTAGCGGTATCGATGTGGCGTCCTTTCTCAAGGGCGTGCTTCCTGCCGACGACCTTCGCGATGATGGTGCCAACTTGCAAACTCGAGAAGATTGTATCGCCAAGTGGCTGGCGCAGGTTACTTTCATTGTTTATGTGCTAATTCCTTTTGCTTTGCTCCTTTTGTCACTTATGTACTAATTTCTTTTCATTCTGATGAACATAGGGTGTGGTCAAGGTAGTTTCTTTCGTCGACAAAGCGTGTCTTTTAGAAGAGAAAGTCAATGAGCTCACCTATCGGCGTCGAGAACTTCGCGAGATGCTGAATGACCAGAAGGTGAAGCACGAGGAAGAGAAAAAGGCTCTCGAGGAGGAGAAGAAGGCTCTCGAGGAGGAGAAGAAGGCTCTCGAGGAGGAGAAAGAGGCCCTGAAGGTTGCGCTCGAGGCAGAGAAGGCTGCTCGAGTGCAAGAGAAGGCTGCTCACGAGCAGGAAGGGAAACGCCTGACCGACCTTGCTGCTCTTCGAGCTCGCCAGATGGTGTGGTACACCAAAGTTGGGCAGCGCTTCCTCCAAGAATATCGCGATCAAGTGGTGACTGACTTCATGCAGTCACCACTATACTTAAAGGAGGTGCAGGAGTTTGGCGTCGACTGTTTCCAGTTTGCCTTAGAAAGGGCAGGCGAGCAGATAGCCGAGGACGATTTCGAGGAGCTTGACGTGGCGGCCATATGGAATGCTATGTCCAAGGTGCCTAAAAGCTTCCACGGCGATCCCGACTTGCCACCCGAACATGAGTGGTGGTTGGGGACCCTCGAGTGTACCTTAGCCCGATCTGACGTCCTGAAGAAAAATTTTGCGATGCCCGACGGTGTTACTGCCCCTGTCTCCATGTCTGTTGCCATGGCTGAGTCGATCCGTCAGCAGCCGTTATTTGATACGGCAGAATCGACCTCTGGCTCGAGTCAGCTGGTCGAGCAGAAGTCCGAACATGCTACCGAGCAGGCCCCGTCAGATCCCAATGTCAACATCGAGCAAACCTCCACGAATCCCAATGCTACTGCTCCTTAAAAATATAGTAACTTTATTTTCATGTAAAGCTTGTACTTGTACTGCCAGTATTTCGTGATGAATGAATGAATTCCGTTTGTGTTTGTCGATTCTAGTATTTTTGTGCCTTTGCTCAATTTCGTATCGTGTTATCATCAAGCTCACGACTTCCTTTCATAGCTTGCTTGCTTTTATTTAACATAAATCCTTAATGTTGTGCTCACCATTAACCAGTTTTCAGATTTTTTATTTTTTTATTTTATTTTATTTTATTTTTATTTTGTCAGAAATGAAGAAGCTGAAGAAATACTATCTGCATCTGAAGCACCCACATGCAATGGAGAGAAAATGGATATT